TATATATATATATATATATATATATATATATATATATATGTGTGTGTGTGTGTGTGTGTGTGTGTGTGTGAGGGTGACTGTAGATACCTTTCTCCTGGACATAGAAGGCAAGGTAGAGATCTAGCTCTTTCACAGAAACAGAGATGTGTCGTGGCTGGACACAAAGAACAGGATTGGAGCACTGGCCTCCCTTAACCAGACGCTCTCCATCTGTGCTTTCTAGAGGAATTCCCTTAAAGAGGATAACCATCACCAAGTCTAACCTCCACACCTGGAATAAACAGATTATAATCATAAACAAAGAATGAAATTATTCTCACTACAGCCAACCATAACTTTGTATTAGTGTTCATCAAGAGATAACTGGATGGTATCAGTACCGCCCTAAATGTGAGATGCAATGATAAATAAAACTGCAGGTCAACACCCTCAACGCACCCATAACCCCTCCCTCATGGGACCCTGCCACCTCCCCTGAAAAGAAATTTACTATTGCACCCAATGTGAACAAGTGTCCTTTATTGATGTTCACAGTTAGTTAAACTATGTCTTGCACCCCTTCCTTACAGAAAAAGGCCAATGTTGTATTTGAAGAGGATTTCATGCAAAAACAGTGTGAAAGTGAAATGACACAAAATACAGAGGAGTATATACAAATCATGTTATGGTATACAAATCAGTATAAAATCATACTATGGCCAAAAAACATTACTTTATAAAGACATGAAGGATTGTAAGGTTCATTTACACTTGGAATTCTCTGTACCCTTACAAAAAATGTCCATGAAAATCACATGTGGTTCCCATCTTCCACATTCCACATATGGTTCACATAATCCATGAAAAAAATCCCATGAAAATCACATGTGAAAACATGTGATTCCCATTTCCGACATGTGGTTGTGATTTTTCACATGTGGGTCACATTTCCACATGTGGTCAAGTATTTTGTTCATGTGTTCAATGTTCCTTACATCTTGTGATCACATAATTCTCACATGACATGACATGTTTGCTACATGTGGAAACATGTGTATCACATGTGTATGGCATGGGAATCACATGTCTAATTTTCATCAGTTGTCCTAAGGCATGTGTGTATCACATGAGAATCGTGTGTGATTTTTGTCAGTTGTACACATGGCAGATAGCCATGTGATTATCACATGGGTAAATTATCAATGTGATAATTTATCACATTATCACATTATCAATAATGTGATAAACACATTATTGCATGTGTTTATCACATGGGAATCACATGTGTATCACATGGGAATTGCATGTGTGTAACCCGGGTGTGAATTTTAACTTCCATTCCCTCATTCTCTGGTTTTTCCACTATACTTCAAGTTAGTTCAATAGTTCTAATATAATATCACCGATCCCCGTGAGACTACTGAACAGCCAATTGCTGTTCAGTATCAGGGTCACACGGGTTACCGCAGCCTTTCTATGGGTATATTAGCTGGAGCGCGGAATTATGAAAGATTAGGACGCATTGGGAGGAGCAGAGCTGCAGGAGCCAACTTCTATGAGCCAAGATGAGATGAAAAAACCCGTTTGTGTGAGATATAAACCGTAGATCAGGTCAGGTTTTGATGGCAAGCTGAAAGTCCAGGCCTAGAGCCCAAGATAGATTGCACTTTTGGTGTGCGAAGACTTCTGCTTCTCCTGCCAGTCTGGTAGGAGGCTCCTTGCAGCCAATGAACAATTTTGTCTCCACTCTGATCTGACTTTTGTCAGCCTGTGACCTACACCAAGGACTTTAAAATTAACTGCCTTGGGACCTCTATCCAACCCCAGCTTGGGGTGGATGAACTGAAGGGTGTGGGTTCATTAATTTTGGAACGTTGCGATTGATAGATTTTTTTGTTTTTGTTTTTTTATTGTTTTGTTTTATTTTTTTATGCAATTTTATATGGCCTTTTGGAATGTTTTCACTGATGTTGAAAATATTTATATAATTTTCCTCACTATAAATACAAGGCACTTGCAACTGCAGACTTCTAGTCTGTCTGCTCCTTCATGAGTTGTATCTATCTTCTGAGAAAACTAGCCCATTGACCTTATTGGTCACAATCCGTTTACATTGATATATATTGCAGCATATTATTTTTACAAATATGCTACAGTTGGGAATCACATGTGTATCACATGGGAATCACATGTGTATCACATGGGAATCACATGGGGTTTACCATGAAACGCTCCAAAATCACACATATATAGATGTGCTTTCACATGTGATTCACATCATTCACACATTATTCACATGTGAAAAGTTGTGTGAACCACATGTGCAGGTTTCATGTACCACATGTGAAAGTGGCACATGTGACTTTCACATGTGATTTTCATGGGAGTTTTTTTTGTAAGGGGATGAAATTAGACAAGGTATGTCAAAGGTTAGACAAGTTGCTGGCAAAGATAAATGTGGATTTGGCTCCATCATGTGGCTAAAAAGAATTACCGTATTTTCCGCACTATAAGGCACACATAAATACCTACAATTTCCTCAAAAGCCGACAGTGTGCCTTATAATCCGGTGCGCCTTATATATGTACCAATATTGAGCCACAACAGGTCTAGCAACTACGGTAAGCAGCCGCCGACTTCATTTTCGCCCGTAGAAGAAGAAGCGCGCAGTGCATGCAGAATGCTGGTTTAATAAAGTTTGACTGACCTATCTACCTACCGACCATCTAGAATCAGGTCGTCTGCAGGTCATTTAGCACCACGTTCTCCACGAACATGCTGTGCGCGAACGGAGAAGGGTGACCATCGTCCGGCCATGCCCCGGCCCAGTCGCAGAAGGGTCTCCTCGCCGACCGGAGTCGGACTGTTTTATTGACATTCCTTTTAGTGCCGCTCCATCGAGTGGATGCATAATGTAACTCCAGCCTCTACTGTAGCATCTATTCTATGCGCTTATAATGCGATGCACCTTATGTATGAAAAATGTTTTTAAAATAGGCCATTCATTGAAGGTCTGCCTTATAATCCAGTGCGCCTTATAGTGCAGAAAATACGGTACTACATTATGATGGGACATTGTTTCTTACCTGTTTAAAAATTCAGGTCATGCGAAGAAATTTTACAAAAACACATCAACATATGAAAAAACACTCCAAACAAATGTACTGAAAATAACCATACTAATAAGTCCTTATAACATGATAAATGTAACCATAATTGCTTGTATCCAAATTATATATGGCCAAATAAACAGCTTACATAGATATGATGGCTTAAATAGTTTATTTCAACTTGGATTTCCACATGGATAGTCAGACAAAGCTTAACTATACTGACTAAAAACATGTCAAAAGCTTTTAAACTTACATTATTTACATTTGTAATGTCTAAATATTATTCAACTCGGATATTTACTCATATTGTAAATCAAAGGGATAGAAAGGAGTGGATGGGTTTTGATTGTGAGAAAAACATCATGCTTTCTTTCCTTGACAGACAAAGATGACCTCCTCTTGGATTTCTTCCTCTTTGTACTGTCAAGGAAGAAATTGCAAAGCTGTGCCCCCAACTGGCCTGGGAACAAAGGCCTGGATTATTTTAGTTTATATCTTTAAAAAACTCCACTGCGAAGTTGTAGAGGTGAGACAAAATCAAGTACCTGGACCTGAAGTGTTAACTTAATGTAAACACACACTGAGCTCAAATAAAGCACAGTTTCTGTCACTTTCAACACATATTGTTGGCCCAGATAATGTGTATTTGGCTCCATCATGTTGCCAAATAGGATTACTACACTATGTTGGGAAAATATTTCTCACCTTTTCAAAAATGTAATTTTAAAGAATTTACAAGAAAAAACAACAAATGAAGAAGATTTGCAAACAAATGTACAGAAAAGAACCATAATAATACGTCATTATAATATATGCAGGCAGCAGTGCATGTATCCAAATCAGAATATGAGTGAATGAAGAGTACCAATTAATAGGCCAAGTAAGCTTCCATGGTTCATTGATAGTTGGAATTATTAGTAGATAAAGTCAGATAATGCTTAACTACACTGACTGGCCACTTTATTAGGTACCACATCCCAAAGGTGCTCTATTGGATTGAGATATGGTGACTACTATGGAGGCCATTTGACTACAGTGAACTCATTGTCGTGTTCAAGAAACCAGTCTGAGATGACTGGCGCTTTATGACATGGCGCTGGAAATAGCCATCAGAAGATGGATACACTGTGGTCAATACACTGTGGTCACAAAGGGATGGACATGGTCAGCAACAATATTCAAGTAGGCTATGGCATTGACACACTGGTTGGTACTAATGGGTCCAAGGTGTGCCAGGAAAATATCCCCCACACCATTGCACCACTACCAGCAGCCTGAACCACTGATAGAAGGCAGGATGGATTCATGCTTTCATATTGTTGACACCATATTCTGGCCCTACAATCCGACTGTTGCAGCAGAAATCGAGACTCATCATACCAGACAATGTTTTCCAATCTTCTATTGTCCAATTTTGGTGAGCCTGTGTGAATTGTAGCCTCAGTTTCCTGTTCTTAGCTGACAGGAGTGGCACCCGGTGTGGTCTTCTGCTGCTGTAGCCCATCCGCCTCAAGGTTTGGCATGTTGTGCGTTCAGAGATGCTCTTCTGCATACCTCTGTTGTAACAAGTGGTTATTTGAGTTACTGTTGCTGTTCTATCAGCTCACACCAGTCTGGCCATTCTCCTCTGACCTCTGGCATCAACAAGGCATTTGCGACCACAGAACTGCCGCTCACTGGATATTTTCTCTTTTTCGGCCCATTCTCTATAAACCCTAGAGATGGTTGTTCGTAAAAAACCCAGGAGATCAGCATTTTCTAAAATACTCAGACCAGCCCATCTGGCACCAACAACCATGCCACGTTCAAAGTCGCTTAAATCACCTTTCTTCTCCATTCTGATGCTCAGTTTGAACTGCAGCAGATTGTCTTGACCATGTCTACATGCCTAAATGCATGTAGTTGTTGCCATGTGATTGGCTGAGTTGACATATATATATAAAACCAAGTAACGGGCATACACAGCAAATCTGGAAGTGTTCCATCAACTCCTACAGAGTTTTAAATTCAACATTTTGAAAGTGTCCATATTGGTCCACTCTGGATGGTGTAGAAATTACACTGTTGAAAGTGTTATTTGTGATATAGTTGAATCAACACTCACAGTAGTTGAAATTAAACACACATCAGTGTTGACTTACTCAACACTAGTGTATTTTGTATAAAGTTAACACTATGA